ATCGACCTGACACCCTTCGTCCACAGCATGTTCGGTGAGTGGCTCGGGGAGGGGGGGGAATGGGGCGTGGGGCGTTTCCCCTGTGGGGGGCACCAGCTCCCATCCGGCCCCAGGGCAGGGACTGGCTGGCTCAGGGTGGGGTCTCATCACCCCCGACTCTCTCTCTAGGCCCGAACACTCTGGGTTTCTCCCTGCACGTCTCGGCCCTGGGCTGCTTCTCCCAGCGGCTGTGGATCGGCACAGCCAGCGGCACTGTCTTGACCGTGCCCTTCGCACCGGGTGAGTTGGGGTGCTTGGGGGAAGGGGGTCCCCTAGGCATAGCTCAGATCCCACGGCCAGCCCAGCCCTGCTGGTGTGAGGGGGGGAGAGGGGCGCGGGTGTGTGTGTTTCTCTGGGGTCCCGTGGGCAGTGGGGGGGAGGAGGGGGCCAGCATCCTGCCCAACTGGGATGGGGGCGTGGGGGGCAGAGGGTCCTCAGTTAGCCTGCTGGGGGCAGGGTCTCTGCAGGCCACACCCGCAAAGCTCTGACCCTCCCCATCTCTCCTGCCCTCTTCAGAGTTCTCAGGGCGCTCAGAGCCCCCCCCGGCCACGGGGTCCCAGCCAGGCCCCTCGCCCGCCAGCACCCCCTACTGTGCGATGGAGAGCGCCCAGGCTTCCTACCACGGGCACCGTGATGCCGTCCGGTTCTTCGTCTGCATCCCAGGTACCTGCCAGGATGCCTGGGTTCTGTCCCGGCTCTGGGAGGGGAGTGGGGTCTAGTTGTTAGAGCAGGGGGGCTAGGAACCAAGACTCCTGGGTTCTCTCCCTGGCTCTGGGAGGGGAGGGGGGTCTAGTGGTTAAAGCAGGGGGGCTGGGAGCCTGGAGGCCGGGGTTCTCTCCCTGGCTCTGGGAGGGGAGTGGGGTTTAGTGGTTAAAGCAGCGGGGCTGGGAGCCTGGATGCCAGGGTTCTCTCTCTGGCTCTGGGAGGGGAGTGGGGTCTAGTGGAGATGGGGGGGCTGGGAGCCAGGATTCCTGGGTTCTCTCCTCACTCAGCTGCAGCCCTGGAGCGCTCCCTAGAGGTAGTTTCTGGGGTAACAGCTTGTTGTCGTCCCCCCCCCCAGGCTGCCTTAACCCTTCGCTGGCCGGGAGCAATAGCCAGGAGGAGCGGGCTGGGCAGAAGCAGCCCACAGCTTTGGTGCTGAGCGGAGGAGAGGGGTATATCAATCTCCGGATTGGTACGTGCCTCGTGGGGGGGGTGGGAAACAGCGCCTCTGTGGGGGTCTCCAGATACCCACCCCCCCGCCCCACCCCACCCCATCCCAGAGGGGCCGTGCCCAGTGCCAGGCAAGGGGTCCCCATATACCCAGCCCCCACGCCCCACCTCAGAGGTGGCCATGTCCCAGCACTGGGCGAGGGGTCCCCATATACCCAGCCCCCGCACCCCACCCCAGAGGTGGCCGCATCCCAGCATCGGGCAAGGGGTCCCCGTATACCCACGCCCCACCCCAGAGGTGGCCACGCTCAGCGCTCGTTGTGGGGCGCCCCTGGGGCTGCTGTGACTCTTTCTTTCTCTCTCTCTCTCCCTTCACAGGGGATGACACGGACGATCAATTTGGGGACCTCTTGGTGGCCAACCCCCATCTGTGCCGCTCGGTGCGCAGCCACCTCATTGTGTGGCAGGTCCAGGCCTGAGGCTGGGGTGATGGTCGCAGGCGCTGGGCCCGGCCTGCCCTGTGGGGGGCACTGTCTGCTCCCTGGGGAGCCACTGTGTCCACCCCATCACACTCAGATACCAGCTCTGGGCTTGGGGGGTAGATCTTCCAGCTCCTGATGAGGGGGATGTGTGTGTGTGGGGGGCTGAGTTAACCGCCTGCTGCCCAGGGTCAGCATGATGCTGTGACCCGAGTTGCTGGTGTTCAGTGGCTGCCGAGGGGGCTGGGGGATAATTGGCCTGTCTCCCTCCAGCCCCCCACCCCATTCATCTACTGGATCTTCCCCATGTCCCTTTGCAGCTGCTGCCCCCACCCCTGTTCCCTGCCAGTCTGAGCCCCCCACTGACACCTGCCCCACACCTCACCAGAACCCCTAGCCCTGCCCCCTTTCCGAACCCCCTCCCAAACTCCCCTTCCCACCTTGCCCTGCCCCTGCTAGACCAGCCCCTCCTCACCATGTCCCCCCCGACTGTCCCCCACATGCCCCCCCCAACAAAGCCCCCCCATCACAGCTCTGTCTGTCCCACCTTCTGGCCCTCCCTCGCAGCAGGGGGACCCCACCTCCAAGCCTGGCTACTGTAGCTCCTCTGTGCCTTTAAAGGGTGGCGGGGCCACTGTCACACTCAGGAGTATAGATGGCAGCTGCCATCAGGAATATTGTTTACAAGCTCCGCCTTCCCTTCCAGGACCCATACACGTCTCAGGGCCCCTCCCCCTGCTGCCACCTAATTTACATCCTTCCCCTCTGGCTGCACAGACTCCGCTCTCCCTGGCAGGCTTCACCCACATCTCAGAACCCCTCCCTCTTTTGTCCTTTTACATGCAAAGCGGGTGGGGTAGGGTGGAGTCCTTGGCCCTTGGGTTCTCTCCCTGGCTCTGCTAGATCCTCCCCCTGCTCTGTGCCTCAATTTCCCTTCTGTGCACTGGGGAGATCCCCAGGCCCTTTCCTTGAGGCTTTAGGGCTTGGAGCCTGGCCCTGAAACCACCCAATGGAATCCATACTGACCTTAAGCCAGGGGGTTGGGGGTCTCCTTGTACCCGCCCCCCCGCACTGGAGACACAGTGGGGGCAGGCTAAAGGGGCTTTTTCCCTGCACTGAGTTACCCCTACCACAGCTCCTCACTGGGGTTATGCCAGCTGCCCCCTCCCCAGGGCTTCTTTGCCTCGTGGGGGGCACAGGCATGGGGTGCCCCATTGCTGCTACACGCTCAGGGTTGGGCTCTGTCCCATCTGTGAGTCTGTCTGAGCCACGCCACCCCCGGCAGCGCCTGGGAATCTTTCTGTGGGACAATTTCTAATAAAGCTTTATTTTTCTGGGCTAAAATGTTGTTAGGATGGTACGCAGTGAGCGGGGGGGCTCCCATCTGGCCCGAGGGCAGGGGTCTGGCTGGTTCAGGGCACTGGCTCCCATCCAGCCCTGGATGGTGGGAGGAGGGGAGGAACTGGCTGGCTCAGGGGTGTGGGGAATGAGGCACCCAATCTGGCCCTAGGGTGGGGGGAGCTCCATGGTGTGCAGGGTAGCAGGGATTGAGGGGCTGGGGGAGTAGTAGGCTGAGAGGGGGATGGGCAGGGAGCCCCCCTGGCTCTTCCCCAGCCCCCCACATCGGGGGTCCCTGTGTGCTGAGCCATGGGGCGGCGGGAGGTTTGACAAAATGCTTTTCCGAGCACAAAAGGCTGACGGGTCGGATTCCAAGACCTTCGTCTCTGGGCCAGGGTCGCCACTTCGCGCCCCCTTCTCATGCCAAAATCAGGCCTGGGCAGGGGGAGGGAGCTTCAAGAACTGGTTCTGCCCCCCTCCCCTGAGCTTTTGGGATTTTCTGCCTGAGAAAAAGGTCCAAAATCTCCCGCTTTTTACCCCTGAGCTTTCCTTCTCGTCTCCATTTCACAGATGGGGAGACTGAGGTGCAGGGAGGGGGTCTGCCAGCAGGCCAGTGGCACAGCTGGGAATAAGGCCCAAGTTTCCTGAGGCCCTGGCTGGTGATCTACCCACTAGGCCCCACTGCCTTGCTTTTCCCAGACCCCACCCCGTACCTCCCAGCCTGGCTCCAGGGCTACCTTCCTTCCAGCTCTTGTGCTTCTGGGCTGCCAGATTGGTCCCCCTGCCCCCGAAACTCTCTGGGGCTCTCAAACCTGGTTCAGGTGGCTTAGTGGGTGTGGGACAGCCCTGGGCAGGGACCCCAGTGCGCCAGGATCTGTGCCCGGCTCTGCCCCCAGCCTGCCTCAGTTTCCTCAGCTGCAGGAGGCTGCTCCCGTCTGAACTGGCTCCAGGTGGGTGTTTCTCTGAGATGGGTTTGATTAGTCACGAAGGGCCGGGGTGTCTGACCATGGCGGAGCTCGGGAATGGGGGTCCCAGCGCCCCTGCCCCCGCGAGTCCCACAGCCAGGGCTAGTCACGCAGGGGCTCTAGGGGCGGCAGCCCAGGACTTCGGCTTTGGAGGACCCCCCCGAAAAAACAAGGGGCGCAGGTAGCTGAGACTGGAGGCACCCCCCACCTCCCCTAAAAGTGACAGGTGCTGGGGGGCCCCTTGGGAAACCCCCGTGGGGCAGACCCACGCCCCTAACATCACCCAATGAGGGAACCCCAAAGCCCCCCCACCTTCAGAAGCCACCTCCGACGTCACCCACTCCCTGATTGGGTGGGGCGTGGTCTTTGGAACGTTGTGTCAGCCCTCCTTCCTCTCTCCCCTGCGTGATTGGATAGGAGCTAACGGGGCGTGGTCTTTGGAACGTTGTGTCAGCCCTCCTTCCTCTCTCCCCTGCGTGATTGGATAGGAGCTAACGGGGCGTGGTCTTTGAAACCTTCAGCAAGGCGGGACTTATTATGTCATCCCCTCCCTTTCCTCCCAGATTGGGTGAGAAAGGGAGGAGGCGCGGTCTTTGGAACGTTGTGTCAGGCCCGCCTCGGTGTACATCATACCCCACCCCTTCCCTTCCCTGATTGGGTGGGAGGGGGGGCGTCGTCTTTGGAAAGTTTTGTCAGGCCAGCCTCTGCGAACATCAACCCCCTTCCCTTCCCTGATTGGATGGCGGGGCTGGAGGAGGGGGCGTTGTCTTTGGGACGTTCCGTTTGGCCAGCTGGGACAGCTCTCAGCGCGCTCCCATTGGCTGGGAGCCGAGGGGGAGGGAGGTGGTGGGGGCGTGGCCTACCCTGCTTGGGCGTCTCTGATTGGACGAGGGTGGGTTCAGCTAATGAGGACCTTGGGGAGCAGCTGGTGGGGGGGGGGGTGGTCTAGGGGAAGCGCAGAGGTGAGTGGGGCAGAGCGTGCAGGGGCGGGGGCGCCCAGGGGACCCACCCGCAGGGGCATGGGCTGGTCAGGGGACCCTGTGAAACCGGGGCGCAGGCAGCCCAGCGCGCCCCACGGACCAGGCGGGCTGAGTCCCCCCCCCCCCCCCCCCCCAGCGCTTAACTGGGGCACAAGCAGGTATTTCCCTGACACACCAGCCCGCGCTGCCTGGCCCCCAAACCGCGGGAGCTGCTGAGCCCGGAGAGATCAGAGTCCCCCGCAGGGCGGGGACTGGCCGGCTCGGGGGGGCGGGGAACGGGGCCGGGGCCGGGGCCACTCCCGTTCAGGGGGCATCCGCTCCCCGCCCGGTCCCATCCTCTCCTCTTCTTCTGGCTGCAGGGGCAGAGATGGCGCTGGCCCGGCTCGGGAAGGTGTTTCCCAAAACCAGCATCCTCTTCCTGTGCGACATGCAGGAGAAGTTCCGGCCCAACATCGCCCACTTCCCCCAGATCGTGGCCGTGGCAGCGCGCATGTTGCAGGTGAAATGCCCCCGGGGTATAGGGGTGCTGGGTTTTGGGTGGGGGGGTCAGAAGGGGGTGCTGGGCCCTGGCAGTCAGGGCTGGCCCCAGTGCACAACTGAGGGGTGCTGTCCCGTTGCCCCAGGGTTTTATGCAGCTGTCAAAAAGTGGGCCCATCCCACCCCAGAGGTGGCTGCGTCTCAGCGCCGGGTGAGGGGTCCAGCCCTTGGAAATGTGACGTTCAAGAGGCTCAAGGAGGCAGCTGATGTCCCCGGGGGCGGGGGGAGGTTGCGCTTTCTGGGTGTCCTGCTGAAAACAGGGCAGAAAGGGCCAAAGGACTATTAGGCAGTTGCAGACGCGGGCCACTGGATGGCGGCCTAACCCTGGAGGATTGATGGTCATTAGCACCCCGTGAAATATTTTCTACTATTTATAATAGTTCGGGAAGGGTTGGTGGGAATTCCATGTTATTTCGCTTTATCCAGCCTGGGTCAGGACCCGCCCTTCGGGGCAGGTCTAGGAGGTGTTGGGACCTGCCCCTGAAGGGGTGGGGCCTGTAGGGGGGGAGCTTTTAATTTTTCACATTTCCAAAAATCACCAGACTTTCATGATAATGCTGAGCATTCACCCCCTCCCATAAAGCTTATCTCTAACTGCTAGACCCCACTCCTCTCCCAGAGCCCAGGAAGAGAACCCAGGAGTCCTGGCTCCCAGCCCCCCCGCTCTAACCAGCCCCCCCCCTCACTCCCCAGGTGGCACGGCTGCTGGAGATCCCGGTGGTGGTGACGGAGCAGTACCCCCAGGGGCTGGGCCCCACAGTCCCTGAGCTGGGGGCCGAGGGGCTGAAGAAGTTCCCCAAGACCTGCTTCAGCATGCTGGTCCCGGAGGTGGAGCAGGAGCTGGGGGCACTGCCCCACCTACGCTCTGTGCTCCTGTGTGGCATTGAGACCCAGGCCTGCATCATGGTAGCCGGGGGGGCGGGGGCTGGGGGGGGCTGGGAGGGGACCCAGGAGTCTGGGTCAGTGCCCTTGTGAGAAGCTACCCACTGGGGATAGGACCCAGGAGTCCGAGTCAGTGTTTGTTGGGGGGTACAAGGCTGTCTGGGCCAGGGAAGGGCAGGGGGTCCAGGCTGGCTGGGCCTTGGCTGTGATGGGCGGGGGAGGGGTTTGGGCTGGCCGGGGCAGAGCTGTGGTGAGGGAGTGGAAGGGGGGGGTCTGGGCTGGCTGGGCCTTGGCTATGATGCGGGAGGGGAGGGGTGGTCCGGGCTGGCTGGGCCAGGGCTGTGATGGGGGGATGGGAGTGGAGGTCCAGGCTGGCTGGGCCTTGGCTGTCCTAGGGGAGAGAAGGGGGTCCAGGCTGGCTGGGCCTTGGCTGTCCTAGGGGAGAGAAGGGGGTCCAGGCTGGCTGGGCCAGGGCTGTGATGAGGGGATGGGGGGTCCAGGCTGGCTGGGCCAGGGCTGTGATGAGGGGATGGGGGGTCCAGGCTGGCTGGGCCAGGGCTCTGACCCATCTCCCTCTCCCCAGAGCACAGCGCTCGACGCCCTGGAGCGGGGACTGGATGTTCACGTGGTGGCCGATGCATGCTCCTCCAGAAGGTCTGGCTGTGGGGCTGAGATGGTGGCAGACAGGGGTCCTGGCTGGTAGAGGAACTGGGGGCACGGGGAGGAGTTCCCGGCAGATGGGACTTGGTGGGAGTTGGGGGCGGCCTGGGCTGGAGGGGGCTGAGATGAGCCTGGCTTCAGGGGTTCCCAGCAGACAGGACTGGGGGGAAGTTGGGGGGGTGGGGACCTTAGCTGGCGGGGATGCGGGGGAGGCAGTGTGGCTGTGGTGGGGAACTGGAGCGAGGGGGGACCCCTGCCCCCCCACCCATGGCCACCGTGACATCTCTCTCCCCCAGCCAAGTGGACCGGCTGGCGGCCCTGTCCCGCCTACGGCAGAGCGGTGCCTTCATCACCACCAGCGAGGGGCTGATCCTGCAACTGGTCAGAGATGCTGCCGACCCCCGCTTCCGACAGGTACCCCCCTGCCAACCAGCCCCCCCGCCCTGGGGCTGAATGGGAGCCGGCGCCCCCTAGAGGGGAGAGGCCCCAGGCCCCGTTCCCCACCCCCTGAGCCAGCCAGTCTCTGCTCTGGGGTTGGATGGGAGTTGGCGACCCCAGAGGCAAGGGCGGGATGTGGGGCCCGGGGCCTGTCTGTCAGTCTGGCGTCTCATGCTCTGTTCTGTCCTTCCAGATCCAGAAGTTCATTAAGGACCCGGCCCCGGACAGCGGCCTCCTCTCCCTGTTTCCGGGACAGAGCCCCGGCTTCAGCTAACCCTGCGGCCCCCAGACCCCGTGGCCTGCCCCCCAAGCACATGGGAGCAGGGCAGGGCTGGAATAAACCCTTCAATTCAGTGATCAGCTGGCACTGTGTGTGTGTGTGAGAGAGAAGGGCTGCCCCCTGCTGGTGTCTGTGTGGGTGTCGACGTGCTTCCCCCTGCTGGCATGTGTGTGTCTTTGCCTGTCCGCTGTCAATCGACCCTTTTGTTCAATATCTTCATTAATGATCTGGAGGATGGTGTGGATTGCACCCTCAGCAAGTTTGCAGATGACACTAAACTGGGAGGAGAGGTAGATACCCTGGAGGGTAGGGCCCTAGACAAATTAGAGGATTGGGCCAAAAGAAATCTGATGAGGTTCAACAAGGACAAGTGCAGAGTCCTGCACTTAGCAAGGAAGGGGACAGACTAGGGACCGAACGGCTCGGCAGCAGTTTTGCAGAAAAGCACCTAGGGGTTACAGTGGACAAGAAGCTGGATATGAGTCAACAATGTGCCCTTGTTGCCAAGAAGGTCAATGGCATTTTGGGATGTATAAGTAGGGGCATTGCCAGCAGATCAAGGGACATGATCGTTCCCCTCTATTCAACACTGGTGAGGCTTCATCTGGAGTACTGTGTCCAGTTTTGGGCCCCACACTACAAGAAGGATGTGGAAAAATTGGAAAGCGTCCAGCGGAGGGCAACAAAAATGATCAGGGGATTAGGACACATGACTTATGAGGAGAGGCTGAGGGAACTGGGGATGTTTAGTCTGCAGAAGAGAAGAATGAGGGGGGATTTGATAGCTGCTTTCAACTCCCTGAAAGGGGGTTCCAAAGAGGATGGCTCTAGACTGTTCTCAATGGTAGCAGATGACAGAACGAGGAGTAAGGGTCTCAAGTTGCAGTGGGGGAGGTTTAGGTTGGATATTAGGAAAAACTTTTTCATGAGGAGGGTGGTGAAACACTGGAATGTGTTACCTAGGGAGGTGGTGGAATCTCCTTCCGTAGATATGTTTAAGGTCAGGCTTGACAAAGCCCTGGCTGGGATGATTTAATTGGGGATTGGTCCTTCTTTGAGCAGGGGGTTGGACTAGATGACCTCCTGAGGTCCTTTCCAATCCTGATATTCTATGACCCTCAAAGCCTTGTGCCCCCCAGCAGCCCCCCAGTCCCAGCGCGCTCCCATTCCCAGACAGTGTCCCTCCCCCACTTCCCTCACCCCATCACCCCCCAGTTCCCACCCCTATGATCCCCCTCCCACGTTCCCCTGCGGGGGGGGGCAGCTGTGCTCAGCCCCCCAATGTCCACACCCCCCCACACTCCTATTGCTCTTAGTACCAGCCTCCGACAGGGGCAGGCCTGGAACAAAGACCCAGCCGGTTACCGTGGTGCTGCTGTCTCCAGGGCAACAGGATTATGTTCCATGCCGGGAACATCGGTTAATTGAGCAAATTGCAACATTTTGCTGATTCCAGCGACAGCCCCTTCCCCTCCCCCCAGCCTCCGAGAGCAACCCAGGAGCCCCCGCACCTGGATGCGGCCCCTCTGGGGTGGGGCACGGGGGCTGCGTATACAGGGACCCTTCGTCCAGGGCCGGAACAAGGCCCCTCTGGGGTTAGGTGTGGGAGCTGGGTATATGGGGACCTGGCACTGGTATGTGGCCTCTCTGGGGTGGAGCATGGGGGCTGGGTATACAGGGACCCCTTGCCTGGCGCCGGGACGCGGCCCCTCTGGGGTAGGGCATTGGCCTTGTTATACAGGGACCCCTTGCCTGGCACCACATTGCAGCCACTTCACTTTGAAAGTGAATAAAACTAAATTCAAATTAATAAAATTCAGGACATTTTAATTCTGAATGTGCATCCGCCCATGGATTTAAAATGGCTCAACTAAGTCATTGAAAAAGGTGATAAAGGGTTAATAGTTTGTCAAGAAGGGGGTCATGAGGACAGTTAATCCACTTTCAGAATTAATTTGGATGAGTTAAACCACATTTTATCCCTGTGTGGACAGGTTTAGTTCAGTTTCAGGGCATGAAGATAAAGCAAAATCGGGACACTTGAATTTGGAATGGGCGCATTCATGCCAGAGCTTAATAAGGTTTAACAAATGCACTTTGAATTCAGACCTGGAGTTGATCCGGATTAACCTTCCCAAGTGTCCCCGTGTAGACAAACTGAACCGAATTAAGCAGCGGTTTCTGATGCAGACTAACCAGCCTGCTGTGCATTCCCATCCATGGGGAATCCAGTTCCGTTGCCCTGGTGAGGATGATCTCTCACAGGGTTAACAGCGTCGCTGGCATGAAGTGCGTCTCCTGGCCTGTTTATGCCAACGCAGCCTTGGGGGCTGGAGTGGGCGCAGGCGTTGTAGGCTGGGCTGTAAAGGTTATCCAGGCCTGGCGGGCACAGAAGCTTGCCAAGCTGCATGGAGGGAAGCCTGGGTCAGTGTCAGCGTTGGGGGGATGCTGGATTTGTGGGGGAACCTGATCCCATCCTGTCCCCCCCCAGCACCCCATCTCCCCAGCCTGGGGCTAGAGGGTGCATCCCTCCATTCTCCACCCCTGGATGTTGTCACGTTCCCGGGCAAGCCAGCAGCATGTCCTGTCTCCAACAGCCCAGTGCCAGCTGGGAGCGTAAGCAAACCCAGGGGCACCAGTGCCAGGCCTGGGGATGGGTAGAGAGGTGAGAACAGGGAGCAGCTGGGCGGGGGCAGGGAGATGCTGCCTAGCTGGGCTCAGTAATAGAAGGGGTCCGCGCTTCCCATCTGGTGGTGTGAACAAGGGCCTGTTGGGGCAGGGAAGGGGGCCTGGCGTGAGTTGTGGGGGGCTGCAGGAGGTATAAGGAGCCTGGCTGGAGCTGAGATCCAGACCCCCCTTTCCTGAATCCCTAATGCCCCCCCTTAGCTCTGATTCCCCACCCCCTCCCCAGCTTGCCCTCCAATCCCTTTTTATCCTCGGCCTCTCTGGCTACAGTATCTCCTGGCCCTGGGGGATTTGAACCAGGGACCTCCAGCACTGACAAGAGCCATCTTGCTCACTTGAGGGAAAGTAGTGACTCTGTGAGTGGCTCACAATAGTAGATTGTCATCCTTCTAAGAGGAAGAACTCCTGGGGGACTCAGCAGCCTGCTGGGGATCCCCTTTCAAGTCCTTTTGCAGGTTTCCGTGGTGTTCCTTTCGCTGTTAAAATTGTGTGGCAAATGCGCCCATCTCTGGGGTGCACCTAAGAAGTCTGGTTCTTCTTGGGCTACAGGCAGTGTGGGCTAGCAGGTAGAGCCCTGGGCTGGCACTCCAGACACTGGGTTTTATTCCCACTTCTCCTTTGGGTGACCTTGAGCAAGTTGCTTCCTTTCTCTGTGCCTCAGTTTCTCCTTCATGGGGGACCTGCTGTGACTATCCCGACCCCCTGAAGTGTCCAGGCCAGAGACCAGCCCCTAATAATTCCCAGCACAGAGCATTTAGAAAAACAGCCCATCTTGATTTAAAAATGGCCCTGTGCTGGAGAATCCACCACAGTCCTTGGGAAAGTATCCCCATGGTTAATTACTCACACGGCTCAACATTTACACCTGATTTCCAAGCGCAGGTGGTCTAGCTTCAACTCCAACTCTGCTAGACGAAGAGCCCATTATTCAATATTTGTTCCCCATGAAGACGGGGATCGAGTCACCCCTGAACCTTCTCTAGCTTGGGCTCCTGAAATCCGTCGCTCCAATCGTTCTCGTCGCTCTTCTGTGAACCCTCTCCAATTTATCAGCATCTTTCTTGACCGGTTGGCACTAGAACTGGGCACACCCAGGCCAAATCCAGAGGCCCAATAGCCTGTCTGTGCCCACTCTAGATGCCCCTGTTTGCACATCCCCGGATTGTGTTAGCCCTGTGGCCTCAGCAACACGTGGGGAGTTCAGGGTCAGATGATTGGTGTCCAAATGTTTCTCAGATTCACTCCTGCCCAGGAGCGAGTCCCCCAGCCCGTAAGCATGACTGGTGTCCTTTGCTTCTAGGTGGACATGTTGGTCTTTACCTATATTAAAACACCCGTTGTTTACTTGTGCCCGGTCGCTCTGAATTGCCGACCCACCCGCTGCATTGGTTTATTTTCCCCAATCGTTGTGCAAAGCTCATCAGTGGTGAGCGTACATTTTCTTCCAGGCCGTTGATGAAAATGTTGAATAGTGGAGGGCCCAGGGCTGAGCCCTGAGGGACCCCCCCGGAAACCGTCCCGCTCCATGACAATTCCCTGTTTGCAGCTATATTCTGAGATCTATCAGTTAGCCAGTTTTTAGTCCACGGAGCATGGGCCATGGTAATTTTCAAGCAGGCTAGGGGGTTTTTTTGTTTTCATCAAAATGTCGTGCCTTCATCGGCCAAACTCGGCATCTCCCCAAAATAGCTAGTGAGTGAGAGTGACAAGCTCTCCTGAGTTTCAGCCCCCCACCCCACGCCCTTTCCACCATGCTGGCCGGCCATGGCTCGGGGGTCCGGCCTCTTCTCTGCATGCCGTGACTCGGCTTCTTTTTCTTTAATCTTGGGCCCAGGGTTAATTTGTGAGGAGGAGCCAGCCCTCCTGCACCTCCTGCAGGTGAGGCGTCCCATCAGGGCCTTAGGAGGGGAGTTAGCAAGATGCACCAAAAGTTACAGGGTCATGGCCGGCTGACTGGCTTGCTATCTCTTCATCCCCATTTGCTTGCTTGCGTCTCTCTCCTATTGAGCCCCGCCCTAGTTTCCTTCTCTCTCTCTGCCCCCCGATCAACCCCACCCCTTTAAGCTAAACCAGCCACCAGCCCCCCAATCCTCCCTTCCCAACTGAACGCTGCAAAAAGGATGGAGACGGACAACCCGCCCCGGCCAATCAGGCTCTCCTGCATCCCACTCCTCAGCCAATCAGAAGCTGGGAGTTCACCCTTTTTTGTTAATGAAACCTTCCCTCCCCCCCTTCCTAGGGTAGAGGGAGTGGAGAGCAGAGCGGAGGGTGGGGGGGATTTCCAGGGATTCGGAAAAAGGGGGGGCTGTAATTACCCCCCCATTGGGCGGCCTCAACCAATGGAAAACCTCTCCCTCCTCCCTATCCCACGGCTGGCCAGCCAATGGCATGGCCCCAGCAGAATGTCTAATTCACCCGCTGGCTTCCCCTCCCCAGCCAAGGATTTGTGGAGGGGGAGGGGGGGTGTCAATAGAAAGTGCGGAAAGATTTTATTTTTTTTTTTGGGTAGGGAAAAGGAGGGGTGGGAGGGGTGGGGCACTGGCCTCTGTCCAAGCCGGGGCTAGACGAGGGGGCACCGGGCACGAAGTGGGGGCGCTGGGCACCGGCTCTTTGGTCCTCCTCCCCCCCTCCGCATCTTTAAAAAAAAAATCTTTTTTTGCATCTGCCACTGCGATATTTTTCAAGCCGAAGTAAAGGCACTTGGGGTTTTGTAAACGGGAGCTGGTTTTCTACTGGCGGGTCGAGGTAAGAGCGAGCCCCCGCGCCAAGGCACCACCCCACCCCATTTGCCACCTGTGCTGGTTACGGCCTGGCACCCCACTTGGGCGCCTTTCTCCAGGGGAGCCGGGTGCGGAGGGGCGCGTTCGGGCGGCATGAGCCACAGCCCAGAGGGCACGGCGAGGGGAGGGATGGTGGGCAATGCTTACCTTGTGCCAGGGCTGAGCCCTGGCACCTCTGGGCTCGGCAGTTCCTCGCCCCGGCACCTCTTTCGTTACAAATTAAGCACGGAGGGAGGCTGTAACTCTGTGTGTGTGTGTGTGTGTTTTCTCAGAGCCGCTGATGCCTCTGGGGGCTTAGTTCTTGGGTGCCGTTCTTGGGCAAAGAGGGGGGGCCCGCTAAGAGACGGGTGTCATACAGGATGGGTGCCTTGTGTTTGTGTGAGTGTCTCGTTGATTGCAGGCTGGCATGAGCACTGGGGCTTGTGTGTGTGTGTATGCGCTAATGCCGTTGTGTGCATCACGGTTTGTGCTGATTGTGTGAGAGCTGGGGGGGGGGGGAGGTGTCAAGGGTTGTGTTGAGTGTGTGTGAGCGAGTTGGGCTGTGTGTCAAGGGTTGTGCACTTGTGTGAGTTGTGTGTGTCAAGGGCTGTGTGTGAGAGAGTTGGTGGGTGGGTGTCGAGGGTTGTGTTAAAAGAAAAGGAGGACTTGTGGCACCTTAGAGACTAACCAATTTATTTGAGCATGAGCTTTCGTGAGCTACAGCTCACTTCATCGGATGCATACTCTGAAACCTGAGGGTTTTGTTGAGTGTGTGTGTGTGAGAGAGAGCCAGTGTGTGTCAATGTTTGTGCTGATTGTATGTATGAGCTGGGGGTTGGGTTGTGTCTGTGTGTGTGTGTGTTTGGGTGTGTCAAAGTTTGTGTTGGTTTGTGTGTGTGTGCATGTGTGTCAAAGGTTGTGCTGAATGTGTGTGAGACAGTTCAGTTGTGTGTCAGTCTTTGTGCTGGTTGTGTGTGTGAAGGTTTGTGTCGATTGTGTGTGTGAGTTGGGTTTGTGTCAAGGGATGTGTTGATGGTGTGTTGATTGAGAGAGTAGTGTGGCATGGTTTGTGCTGAGTGTGTGTGTATGAGAGAGGGTTCAGTTGTGTGTCAATCTTTATGTTGATTGTGTGTGCTGCTATTGTTGATTGTGTGTGTGAGTTGGGGATATGTCAAGGTTTGTGTTTGTGTGTTTGTGTGTGTACTGCTTTTGGTTTGTCTGTGCTTGTGTGCATGGAAAGCTTGTGTTGATTGTGTGTCAAGGTTTGGGGTGGTGCGCGTGTGCTGCTGCTGTTAGTTTTTGTGTGCATGACCTGGTGTGCGTGTGCATGCGTGTGATGTGATTGTGATGACTCTTGGGGCATGTGTGTCATGGCTGGTGGCCATGTGTGCACTCCAGTTTGTGTCAGCGTGTGAGACACACAGCATTTGTGCTTTGTGGGGGTGTTGTGTGTGGCTTCCGCTTTGTGTGTGTGTGTGAGACAATTTATGTGGACATTGCTGAAGTGATGTGTGTGTGTCCCATATTGCGTGTATGTGTTGTGGTTATTTTTAATATGAATCCAAAGCATCTGAATATATCCAGCTTTTCTCTTTGTAATTCTTGGCTTAAGACCTCCAGGAAATACACCATGCAGGATCTATTTGCATTTTCTATCATAGACACAAACGCGCACACACCATCTAATGCTCTCTCTCTCTCACATACCCTGAGTCAAACTGATGCGAGATGACTTCTTTGGTATTTTCCTGGCTGGAGCATACGAAGCTGATGAGCCATTTAAAAAACAACAACCCCTCATTGCCGCATCTTCCGGGCTTTTGACATGTTTATTCCTCTTTAAGGAAACAGGTGCCGTGTGTATGTGCCTAGAAACATACACCGGTGGCCGGGTGTGCGCCCATGCACGTGTGTTGTGTGTCAACGACTGTTAAGAGCGACTCATCAACGATCGGTCACTTGCCGATAATCAATAACCAATTCATTGATAACCGGGCATTTCACTAGGCTTAGAGGTGGGATTCGTTCGATAAATCCGCCTGGATTGGATTTATTGATTGCCGGTTGGCAAAGAGAGGTGCACCGACAGTCCTGGACGATGGTCGTTCTCTGCCAGCCTGCATCCCGGCCGAGGGTATTAAATATCCTCGTTCCTCTTTAGATCAGGCCTGGAACGATAGCATTTCCTTCTTTTGGTGCAGGCTCCGTCTGCACTTTGGTTGATTTCAACATTCTCCGTTGCCTTGTGTCCAACAGCCTCAACACCTCAATGTTTAGCCCCCTTTTAGGGGGGCTGTTATTCATCACCCCCTTTGCATTCTAGCATTATAACATCGCTTTGCTGCCATGGTGAAATCTGCACAAGGCTCAGTAAAATGCTGCTCCTTAAAGTTAGCTTAACTGCAAAGGATCCTGGGATGCTCGCTCACTGGGGCTTTCTTTGGCCTGTTGTCGGTGGTGACAGCTACCCACGTTGTTAGGGTGTGAGTTAGTCTCCCAGTAACACGCCCTAAATGGGTTGTTACACACACACGCAGCTGACAGCTTCCAGAACGGTTACCTTGAGCCGTCAACCAGTTCCTTTAGCTAGCGGTAACCCAGCCGTTGCGTACGAACCAGGACATGTTCCAGGGGGCCTGGAGGGAACACAAGGCCAAACACACGGGTGAGCCAGTTGTTGTTTAGCCCCGGAGTCGGTACAATAGGCGACACTTGCTGAGCCATACGTGGGATCTCTGTCCGAGGATGTGCAAACAAAGAATATCTCCGGCTGGTTTAGGGAATTGTTATCCTTTGGCCTGCTGCTGCCAAGATGTAGGCCATGGGTGGCTTTGCGCACCAGTTATAAGTTTAGGCGGCGAGATACAGGGCTGAAGTGTAGGGTCGAGGGAGGGGTACAGTCATCCCGCCTCCCCTGTGATCTCCTTACTGTCAGTTGCAGAGTCCTTGTCGGAGATTGGGACCGTTGTGCACGGCTGAGCGTGCGTGTGTCCGTGATTGTGCATGGCGGAGTGTCCGTGTGTCCAGGACTGCACGGCTGAGCAGCTGTGTGTGCGTGCGTCAATGGTTCTGCACGGTGGTGTGTCGGTGCGTGTGTGAATGATGGTGCATGGCCAAGAGGTCGTGTGCATTTGTCCGTGATTGTGCACGGCAGAGTGTCTGTGTGCATGTGTGAGGGCTGCATGTGGTCCGTTAAGGCACCCGGGAGTGCTGGGGAACACGTGTGTGGGCCCGTGTGTGAGTGCACCGGTGTGTGTGGGCAGGTGTGTGTGCGTGAATGGTTGTGTGGGGCAGGGCATGGGAGTGTGTGTGTGCAGGTGTGTACATACTTCGGGTATTGGAAGTCTGCAGCCTCCTTAAATTCTCCTTCAGGGACTAGTCCCGCTGTTGCTGTCAATGGGTGTTTGCCCCCTGCAGCTGACTAGTTAACGCCCAGGCAGTTGGGCCAGGGATGGCGCACATGCTGGGGGCGACTTCCCTGGGGGGTGGAATCGCTCCCGGTGTGGGGCATGGGCGAGACGGAGAGATGGATGGAGGGGGGTGGGGATGGATGGCCAAATGGATGGATGGACAGACAGACAGACATGTGGGGTGGGGGATGGATGGATACACAGACAGACGTGTGGGGATGGGCAGACAGAGGTGTGGGGATGGAGGATGGACTGACAGACTTGTTTCAGAGTAACAGCCGTGTTACTGTGTATTCGCAAGAAGAAAAGGAGTGCCACAAGTACCCCTTTTCTTTTTGACAGACTTGTGGGGCTCAGGAGCTGGCTTGGACCCCTGCTTGTGGGGCTGATGGGCCCTGCTGAAGCCCCATCACCCCCCGCCACAGCCCTGTGAAAGCCCATTAGCTCCAGTGGGGCTTTGGCAGGGCTGGGGTGTGTACCCCCCACGCCCCCACTCTCTGAAGGGGAAAGGGGATGGGGGGGGGGGAAGAGACAAGGTGGGGGATGGGCCTGCAGTTTCCATGGAGCTGTCGCCATGGAAACAGCACAGGCTGCCTGGATCCTTTGGGCTTCGGGAAGCTGTCGGATGAATGAGGAATGGGGGGGGGGGGGGGTGTTTCCATGGCAGGATCCTCAGGGATCTGCAGGCCCCAGGGAACACCCCCACTGCTGGGTGTGGGGATGTGTGTGTCAGTGGGGACCCACACAGAACAACCTGGCCAAGGAGCCCATCTCAGGACTCCTGGGTTCTCTCCCTAATACTGAGAGGGCAGGGGTCGGTCTAGTGGTTGGGGGGAAGGAGGGCTGGGAGCTAGGACTCCTGGGTTCTATCCCTGGCTCTGGGAGGGTACTGGGGTCTAATGGTTAGAGAGCGGTGTGGGGGGAGGGGGCTTGGAGCCAGGACTCCTGGGTTCTCTCCCCAGCTCTGACAGGGGAGCAGGGATGAGGGTCACCACCTGCCCAGGTTTTCCCAGTGCCGTCTCTTTCCCGAGGTAGCCGCGCCGGGGAACCCGTCTGGGCATGGAGAACCCATGGGGAGCTGCACGGTGGTGTGGGTGTGGGCACGTCCCACATATCTAGGACCCACCCCCTGTGCTTTTGCATCCTGGGCTTGGGCGACTGGCTCGGTGAGCCCCAGACCCTGCCTGGTTTCCGGGGTGCAGCAGCCCGGGCGCTGCTGGCTTGGGCCCCCTTTCACTGCCACAAGCAGGGCCCCCTGTGCTGAGTTAGCCATGGGGCGATTGGAGCAGCTAGGCTGGGGGGCATCTCCTCTCGCCCAGCCCCGTCCTCCTCTACTAGCCAAGAGCAGGGGATTGTGGGTCATTGCCCCGCCGAGGGGCATTCTGGGAATGCCTGCCCCATAGCCACGCTGCCAGGAGCAGGGCATTGTGGGCAATTGCTCCTCCGAGGGGCATTCTGGGAATGCCTGCCCCATAGCCACGCTGCCAGGAGCAGGGCATTGTGGGCAATTGCTCCTCCGAGGGGCATTCTGGGAATGCCTGCCCCATAGCCACGCTGCCGGGAGCAGGGCATTGTG